GCATCCAGTTCTTCCAAGTGACTCTGCACCATCTCAGGGTCTGCGCATGGCAGTCTGGCGCCTTGCTGTTGTCTGTCTACAATCCCATGGTGAGACATCTTGCCCCTCTCTTAGGAACGCTGAGGCAAAGAGCTCATTGAGGAGTTCAGCCTTGTCCCCCCTGTCCGTCACCAATTGCTTTTGCCCATTCAGTAGCGGTCCTATTCCGCCCTGGGCCTTTCTTTTCCTTCCTATGTATCTGAAAAACAGTTTTTTGTTATCCTTAACTTGGGATCCCATCCTCAGCTCCATGGTAGCTTTGGCCCGTCTAACTGCCTCCCTACAACTGTGAGCTGAGGCGGTATACTTCTCTTTAGTAATCCCTCCCTGTTTCCACTGCTTATATGCCCCCCTTTTTGCCCTTAGGCTGCTCTGGATTTCTCTGCTCAGCCAGGGAAGCCTCTTGGCCCCTTTCCCTGCTTTCCTCTGCATTGGGATCGTCTCCCTCTGTGCCCGAAGGATAGTTTCCTTAAGGCACAGCCACCCTTCCTGGGCTCTCAGCTCGCTAAATCTCTTACTCTGCAGTGCGTCACTGACTAAACACCTGAGTTTGCTGAAGTCAGCTTTCCTAAAGTCCAGCACTTCCACCCTACTAGTTACCTTACCCACTCTACGCCTTATGATGAATTCTATTATTTGGTGGTCACTGTCCCCCCAGGACAGTGTAATCTCACTGTAGTTAGTAAAAGGAAATCCGAGGTGGGGATGGACTACAGCGGTGGCCTCCTCTAGCTGTATCCACCTTAGGTCCGGTCTCCACTACCACGGCGTTCTTGAGTCCGTGTTTTAAGCCAGATGCGGCCTATTAACCTTCAACAAAATGAATGAGACGCGTTTCCGTATTAGTTATTTTAACCACTAAAATAAATATTACTTTAGATCTACTACGACCTCCCTTTCCAAAGGAATAGTTTGTTTTGTTTTTTTTACGGGAAGGGAAGCATAACTCCAGTCTGAAGACAAGCTGTGAGCAAATGCTGGGGGCGGTTTTATTTTTCATGCATTTTCTCTCTCATGTGCTATCAAAATACATTTTTCTGAGACTAAGTGGCATGGGATTGTTTGTCCAGACTAAGATAGCATCATTTAACACAAGGAATATTGGAGTATTAAGCAGAACATTGAATGAAACCACTGTAATAAGCAATTTATGGCTACTGATAGCACTTACAATTTAAGACAGCGCTGAGCCTCTTATGACAGTGCACGTGTGCATCTATGTGGAAGACATTTTATAAAATGAACAAAGAACAGGCCTGGGAACACAGGAGAAGCCTGCAAAGCACTGAATCTATGAGGCTTGAAGTCTAGAAGAGATTCAATAAAAATATGAGCACGCTGGTTTTGGATTGGAAAACGTGTTTCCACACTGCATTTCCCTAAGAGTTGACTAGTGTTCGCTTCCACTTAACCATACCCGACAGCGAGAGAACCAGGGAGAACAGCCCTTGGTAACCTCTGGCCTGTAACCTGGGAACTGACCCCAAACGTGGAGACGATGTGAAGACCCTGAGAGAGGCCAGCAATGTAGTTCTGACCTAGCCTTCAGGCTGGAAGTAGAAGTAGCTTGCGTCTGGCATATGCTTGAAAGCGCATAAAGGTACTGCAAAGCCACCCATAATTCCAGTTGATGCTATGGGACTGCAATCCCGACTCGTGTGAATAGTTAGGAAATAAGTTGGATCTTACCCATAAAGGCAACAAGGTCCAATGGCTAGAACAGTAAAGAAGCCTGGACTTGTACTCTCAAATCTGACTTGCTGTTTGAACTTTGCCATGTAACTAAACTTCATCTGCATGTTTCCCGGTCTGTAAAACACGGACAGCAGCCAGTCTGGCTGCCAGCTTTAAGATGCTAGGATGAAAAACACTGATTTACGTATGCACGTATATCCTCATACGCATGCTTTTTGTTTACGTGTATGGACATGTCCCGATATTGGTGCTTGTTTCTGTTCAACACGTCAGCACTGTATTTTTTAGTCTGCATAAAAAATGCCGGTTTGTTCTGAAAAGAGAATAAGTGGTAGGAAACAAAAGAAAAAGCTGCATCAGCCGTGGACTTTGTTATTACAATGGGGATACTGAAATGCCGGTAGCCATGACTAGTTCATTGATTTCACCATGTAAATGTGTTCGCTGAGAGCCCCAAAGCTGCTGTGAAAATGGATGAAGAAACGAAGGCAGCTCCACGGGCATGCCACAGAATCCGAGGCACGACTGGGTCCCAATTTCTTTGTACCAGATGTTTTATAGCAAGTCCTGTTTGAAGCAAGTTCCCCGGGAAGCGACAAGTCCTACCTGATATGGTCTCACTTTATGGTGAATCTCTTGTATTCCAACCTCTCTTGTCCTCACGTCACGGCACTAGCAAAGAAAAGGAGAGAAAACGTACATAAGAGGATTATGTTAGGCTCTGACACATTAAGATTTCCAACCACCCAGCGGGCTTAAAATTAAGCTGAAATAGCCTGACTTACACCCATAGATTTCAAATGGATAAACTTCAAAATAAAAATGCTCACCGAGCCATCACTAATATGCCTTAAAAAAAGGGCTTGGTGCTAAATGTAAAGACACGCTGATAAAAATCAATTCACTAAGAAACCGTTTATATCTCATGAGACAACATACCATTCGATTTACAAACAGCATGGCTTGCTGGAAATGTCAAGAGAAATGGAAGAACAAGAAAGACTTAACTGTTTTCATGTTTCCCTCTATGCTAGAGGTCTAAAATTGGAGAAATCTAACTCGATATGCCAGTAAGACTCTTGAGCAGGCAATTTCTAAGTCTGGGTAATTGGTTTTTATGAGAAAACAGGCACGTGACAAGTAGCAGACTCCCCCCTCCCAGCCCTGTATTACGGCAGACTGATTTAACTCTCTTTGTCAGGTGTCCTTACAGATGTACAGGGCAGAATAACCATGGGGGGACGGAGACGACTGAAACACAAGAGGCCTAAAAAAGTCAAGAAACGTTACAAATACTTTACAGCCAGAGAGAGACAGAGCCCAATCCTCAGCTGCTGGAGCTGAACTATAGCCTGAACCAGCCTTTTGTGCCTCTGACTGGAACCATGATAAACTAAGCATCAGGAGTAACTTTCACAATGACAGGCTCTTTTTTTTTTTTAATGTAAAAATGTCCTAAACATCCAAAGTCACAGCCAAACCCACATGAAACATCTGAAGGCATGCAAGCTAAGCAGCAAAAAGTTCACAAAATGATCCCAGCTCTCATAACCCCGAAGTTTTCAACAAGACCACGCCCAAATTACACCGTGTAAAACCGTTTTTCTTTCTTCCAAGTGACCATAAAAAAGCTGCAAGCTGGTGCATTTTGTTTTAAGGTAGCAGTGCTAAATGTGGTCTTACACAGACACACACGCAGAGCTTCACACTACAGACAAGAACCACGTATTGAAAATTTTTCATTAGCACTTTCAAGACTGTGCCTTTTCATTGCAGTCCCCAAGCTGTAATGCAAGTACCATTCCTTGCAAAGTCTGCCAACAGTGGAGGCATGATACCAGATAATAAAGCCAGTTCTCTGTATTCCACTTTTTGGGTACAGCAGCCCCGAAGATGTGCAAGAACGGTTACTGTTCAAAACTAAAAGCCATGAGTTATAACGTCTAAAAGTCCTGAGTCACTGAACCCAAAATACTCAGACACTTCTCCTTCAACAGCTGTACGAAAGAGTCTGGATACATTCATCAGTGAACTTCAAGAATCCCGAAACTTCGAATTCCTGGAAGTTCAGCCCCAACTATATTGGCTTTTAATTTTTTTTTTTTTTTTTTTACTTCTGCTTCTAGCCGATACAAAATACCAATGGATTTTCTTTGCATCTCAAGAAACAGTGACGAACTTTTCTGGTTGCACTCTCCACTCACTTCAACGCTTCTGCTCCAGTAAATTAAAATCTATAATCATCTGCTCAGTGGAAGCGTTTACCGAGCCGGCTCTTTACTGTCACAGGCTGGCAGACTCTGTAATGGGTCTCCGGCTCAGCCTGGCCCGTCACGGATCAGATATCTGCGCCCCGACAGCTGAGCCCGATCAGATGGCGATCAGATGGCTCGGTTCTTTTATCAGACTCTGATAGGAGAGGCTGGCTGACTGCCCCAAAGCAAAGGGCTGAGACTGCTCAGTTGAAAAGGTGAGCTGCGAGAAGGAGGCCGTCTCCTTTGACGACCCTGAAGAGAAAGGACAGCAGGAGAGAAGGCAATTCACGGCAGGCCCTGGAGAGGGTTGAACCTGGGGCAGGGCGTGGGAAGTAGGCTGCAAATAACCATCCGGGCAGCGGAGAACCAAGCTGAGGCATGGACAAGGGTACTGGCACTCTACCAGACAGTAGGGAAGGAGCAGAAACATTGGGGTTTTCCTTTGGGGGTGCTAAAGAGGGGGAGACAGAGCCCTGCCCGACAAAGAGGGCATTTACACTGCAACTGGGAGGTATTACTAAAGCTGTGTAGACGTGGGGCCTACCTAAATCGCGGCAGAGGCGCGCCGCTTAGCGGCTCTCTTAATTTTGCTCTTTACGCCACATGCCCCCGCTTGGTGAAGAGGCCCCGGCAGCCCCACTACTTGCTGCTGATCAGCCGGGTGGCAAAAACCGTGGCATATTTAAAACCACAGTTTTTGCCTCCTGGCTGATCAGCAGCGAGCGGCGAGGCCGCCAAGGCCCCCTGACCAGTCAGTGGTGGGGGGGGTGGCGGTGCATGGTGAGAACAGCAAGATTAAAGGAGCTGATTTAGGTAGGATGCTGGACACAAGGGTTAGCTGTAATCTAGCTACCTTGGGCAATGATAGCAACGTGGCCCTGGGCAGCACAACCCCACACAGACAGTACACGGTGGCTGAATGCACACAGTGGTTGAAGTCCATGCAACGTCACTGTAACTGGGATTCAAACTAGCTCGATAAAAAAAGCTAACTCCGGCCTGCAAGAGCTGCAATCACATCTCCAACTCCAACACAGACTTACCAAAGCCTCCCTAAGGGAAGGCAGGTCAGATAGGAGAAAGGGTAGATGTGCACCTAAGGGGAGGTAGGTCACAAACAAGGAGTACTGATGGACATAAACAAGACAACAGACCTCGGTGGAAGGGCAGCGTTCACCCAAAGACTGAGATGAGTTAAGGTCAGAAGAGGCAAGGCTAAGCCAGGTTCTCAAAAGCAAACTAGTAGTGCAGGGTGGGCAAAATACAGCCCGTGCGCTGGATCTGGCCCACCAAAGGTTTTTATCCAGCCCACTGGGGGCATCTCAGCCCTGCCTGACCCAGCATGCAATTGGTCCTGCCGCCCCCGGGCACGGAGCGGGACTGGGGCAGCACTGGCTGGACTCACTTCCCGGCAGCCCCTGCAGTGGTGGCTCCTTCCAGCTGCCAGCACCAGTCTCTGCCACCAACTCTGGCTCCGCTGGTCCCACATCAGGCACTGCTGGGGGCACTGGATGGAGTGGGTGGGCTCCATGGAGACCAGCCCAGGACCTGCATGGACAGGACAGGTGGCCAAGCAGATGGGATGGGCCAGGAGCGGGACACTGCAGGGGCATGCAGAGAGCAAGTCGTGGTTCTGCCCCGGGCCCCAGCCCCATGATCCTGCCCTGTGATCCCAGCCCCACCTGCTCCCAGATGCCACTCCTTGCCCGCTTGCAGCCCCATCCCATCCACCGGCCACTTAGGAAGTTTTAATGAGCTGTTGTGGGTGGGAGGGGTGCCGACCCAGTGCAGCCAGGGGGTAAGAGGTGCTGACCTGGCCCATGACGGCTCACCAAAACTCCCAAAGCGGCCCTCGGGCCCAAATAATTCCCCAACCCTTTAGTAGTGGCAGTGAGCCGCCACGCACCAAGAGGCACGGGCTGGAAGCCTGGACAATAACATGGTTAAAGAGTCCTGAGGGAGTTACCAGAAGTACGGCGTCCATTGTATTTTCATTTGGAACTAGGACACCCGAAGGAGGTCAGAACTATAACATTTTTTTTTAAAAACACGTTTTTCATGATTTATGCTTTTTTGAGTAGTGTATAGAGAGGTGATTGCAAGGAAAGCGTTATTCTTGTATACTGTGTGCATGTGAGGGCGTGGTGGGGCTGCCTGTGCGCTAGGTCCCAAAAGCCGGCCGGGGCAGGAGGAAAGGGGGCAAGCGCAGCAGAGCTTGCCCAGGCGGTGCAATGCAGGTGCAGTCTACCCATCTGCCCCACATCTCCCCCCCCTGCCATCCGGCCCACAGCTGTCCCCATGAGGCTCCGCATGGGGCTGAGCCCTGCCCACTTCCGCCTGGGACAGCCCACAACGCACTTGTCCCGCACCCGCTAATGGCACTGCCCTGGCCCTGGCCCTGGCCAGTGTATGTAGCTTCCCAGCAGGGCTGCCTTTCTCCCGCTCAGGTACCCACAGGTGGCTGCTCATCATGTCAGGCAGGCAGAATGGGTGGGAGGTGGCCGGGAGCTGGAGATGGAGCCCTGCATGCTGGCGCAGGAGCCACCCAGCAGCAGCTTCCCCTTGCCCGCCACTGCTTCCCCGCACCAGAGCGATGCAGCAGGGGCAAGAATTGGAGGAGGAGCCACTGAAGGCAGGGGGAACTGAGCAATACCTAGGCAGCCGCAGCAGAGGTGGGAACAGCCCCGTCGGGATGCTGTGCGCGCTGGCTGGGACCAGGGTGGTGCGGTGTCGTTGGCAGGCGGGAGCAGGGGGCAGGCTCTCCCCCATGCAGCCGTGGGCCGGATCTAGCCCGCGGGCAAAATGCCCACCCCTGCTGTAGGGGACAGGGCCAGGAGCAGTGGCCTCAAGCTGCAGCAGGTAAATTTAGGTTGCAGATTAGGCTCTAAGGTGGTCAAGCATTAGAACAGGCCGTCTGGAGAAGTTGTGGAGTCTCCATCCCCGTTTTCAACAAAAGGTTGGACAGGCACTTGGCAGGGCTCCTTTAGTCTCTGACCCTGCCTTGAGCAGGGGCCTGGTGTAGGTGACCTTGTGAGGTCCCTCCCAGCCTGACTTTCCTATGATCCTATAAATACACAGTAGAGTTTTCTCCTGCTACAATTTCTTTGTAATTCCAGAAATAGCAGGGATATGAAGTCTCATCTGATTTTTGCTAGAAGCCTCCCTAGGAAGATTTCTCAGACCTTAACTGAGCAGTTTAAATGCCTGAGGAGCTTCTCTTCCAATTGTTAAGTGTTCAGGATGAAAAAGTGCATGCAGGGGTAAAGGGTATAGCTGCAAGCCGTGTGAAGAGGAGGATGAGTAATAATAAAACCTGCTTACCTTCCGTCTCTGCTTTTAAAAGATTTTTTTTTTTTGCTACGCTATCACAAGCCTACCAATTCCCAGGTTATCCAGCGTCTTTCAGAAAAAATATATACCTCTAATATAGAAATGAAGCAGAAAGCACCCAACTTCTGCTTTTTTTTTTTTTTTAGAAGGGAGGACATTTTTCTTTTTTTTACCTGTGTCCCAAGATCCTTCATCCTGGCCAAGGCAAGTTCTCTCAGGTTACCATGCTCCACACCTGAACTGACTAGAGGCATTGGGATGTCCCTGTGGAAAGATGAAAACAAGAATTCTTATACAGCCATGTTAAGAGATGACTGGATCATCAGGTGCCCTCGTAACCATCTAGTCTGACTCCCTGTCTAACGTAGGGAAGTCCTCTGGTCTGTGTTAACTCCTGTTTCAAGTCCAATAGTTTTGGCTGAACTGCAGGATACCCAAACCAATTACCAGCTAAAGGAAAGTGCTGACAAATAGGTTACACGTTTGCTTTTGGTTGTCACTTCCAAATTTGAGAAAGGAAGGATGGTCCGATTTGTGTTTTTCCTTCTAGGACATTTGTCACAACGATTCTTCCCATCTCCAGAGACAGGTAGTTAGCCATGTCAGTCGGAAGTCAGTCAGAAGGCAGGAGAGATATGCACCTTTACAGACTAACTAAATAGGATAGACAGAGAGACAGACGGAGCAGCCGTGCGGAAAGCTTTCATGAACCCAAGTTCATTTCCTCAGGTGCTGTGAAAGGACAGCGTGAAGCAGAGTCGGAAGTGGAGTGAGTCATTAGACTACAATAGGTGGGAAAGCAGGAGGGAGAGGGAGGAAGCAGGGGAGGGAGCGCTGAGAGGCGTGCAAGCATAGAACCCATAGGAACAAAGGGGTCACAAAAGCTAATCCAGGTAATGAGGCAGACCAGATTTTTGCTCCGGTCTCTCAGGAGGAATCTGCCAGAAGGACAACATTTTTCAGCTTTGAAAGCTGGCTGTGCTGAACTGTAAAAATGTTACTGAGCCCCAAACATTTGCAGCACAGCCTTGTCAAGAAGACAGGGGAATTTCTCTTCCCTTTCACATTACTTAACAGGCAAATGACAGTCAGAAGCCACCCCCACACATAATCCAGTCCTCCAAGGAAGGGCGAGGGGCAGAAGCTCACAGACAAAGCAGAATTTTCCTTCCCCTGCTTTTTTTTTTTTTTTTCACATCAATTTGTATGGTGAAGCATTGAAAACAAGCAACGTTTTACCCTCCCAAAAGAGGGAGGATGCTCCTTATTCAGAAAAGACTGAAAAGAAATGTCAAGGGCGACTCGGTACCCTGCTCTGTAACACCCTTTTACCGAATGCTGCAGGGAGGAGGTGTCGGTTGAATGGCGCTTGAATGGGTGCACAGACTCTGCTGTATACACCTCTATTCAACTGAAGCCTCTGTCTACACCAATGTTTGCATTCTGCTTTCTAAACCTGCTTGGCTTCATTCAGAGGAAAAACGCTGTGGTGTTGAGAGGCCGGCTGTGGCCCTTAGGAGATGGCAGGTTGCAGAGTTCACAGAACTGCATTTGGAAGAACGTCCAATTAAGTTTCTTCAAGAGCCGTGCCCAACTCGGAGACATCCCTTTGCCAGAAGGCACACTGCTTTGTGAGAAGAGGATGATGCAGGCCACCTGTGCAGCTGAACGGTGTTCTTATTAGCATTTATAGCCCATGAATTATCACCACGATAGGGATCTGTGTATTACCAAAGGACCGAGAGCAGCAATGGTCCTTGGGAATTTATTGTCCGATCTGGCAAGGAGGGAATCTTGAGTTTCTCAGAGCACAATTGCTGAACCATTTTTCCATGAGCTGATCAGGCCATCTGCTGAATAGGCTACGTCTCTGCCTTCAGCTGACTTTTACCTGACGCGTGTCCCCTGTAATGTTGATCTGTCTCTCGTGGTGCAGACTTTCTTTGTGAATTTTCTTCAACGTGCCAGGAGGGTGTTTTTCACCTTCGCAGAATGAGTAACCAGTGCCTCTCTCAGCCTCCCAGACGATGGGCTAAGCAGCATGCATTCTGTTTCTAAATCAAAACTTGTGCTATATTTTGTATGACAGCCCTGGAAATTCAGCAGGAGCTTCAACTGAACTGAGATCTGAGTATTTAAGGACTCGGTGATTAAAATTGCTGGCATCTGGTCCTTCACAATTTTCTTTGCCATCTTTGTTCTCAGTGGCTGAGGGAGGAAAAAAGGCAGAGAGAAACTTCTACTCTTAGTGAAGTAGAAACAGCAGGCATGGTGCCATGGAAGGACAGACTGAAAAGACTTAAAGCTTTTAAATGGCACAGTATAGGAAGCCCAACAAGAAGCTATTCCGGCACAATGGAAGCACAAGAAGAATGGCAAGAGCCCAATGCAGCTGCACAAAGAGCTTCTAGGATGCTTTAAGTGCAGAGACAATGGGAAAACAGGTAGGTCACCAAGGAAGCTCACCAAGATATAGCAAGAACTTGTAAGGACCAAATCAGGAAGGCAAAGGGAAGCAATGAGCTTTACCTGGTGAGGCATGTTATGGGCAGCAAGCAGAGGACCTATACATTTGTTGAAAAGAAGAGAAAGACCAAGAATACTGTGGGTCGACTGTTAAATCGGGAACTCCTAACAGAAGATGCAAATAAAGCAGAGATGCTCAACAGCTACTTTGCCTCGGTTTTCACAAAAAAATTTAGCCACATCTAAAAAGGATTATACGGATAAGGAAGGGGACAAGCTGAAGGGATGAGATAACAAAAGAAACAGTTGGAGATCTTTCAACGGGTCTGAATGAATTCACGTCAGCTGGGCCAGATGAACTCCAGCCCAGAATACTGAAGGTCCTGAGACAAGGCATCTGAAAAGTGGGAAAGGGCCAATGTAGTACCCCTCCTCAAAAAAGGCAGAAAGGAGAACCCGGGGAACCACAGACCAGTTAGCCTCACCTCAATACTTGGGAAGTTACTTAAGCATATCGCAAGGAAATCCACTTGGAGAAGGAAAGACTGATCACAAGCAGCCAGCATGAATTTACTAGGAATAAACTGTGCCAAACAAACCTGATCGTCTTCGATAAGACTAGTTGGGTGGATATGGGGAATACAGTGGATGGATGGGAAGGATTGTGAACATGCTGGAGGACAGGACAGCAATCAAAAAGATCTGGACAGACTGGAAAACTGGGCTGGGACTACCAGGATGAAGTTTAATGCTGACACATGCCAGGTGCTGCACTTCAGGAAGAATAATCAAAAACACAAATACAAGCCGGGTGACAAATGACTGGATGGCAGCATTACAGAAAAGGTGGATCAAAGACTCGCTAGGAGTCAACAATGTACTGCCGCTACATGAAGGGTAAATGCAATGTTGGGCTGGATCAATAGGAGCATTAGGTGCAAGACACAAAATGACAGTGCCTCTCTACTTGGCATTGGTTAGGCCTCATCTAGAGTAGTGTGTGCAGTGTCGAGCTCCACATTTTAAAAAAGACATGGAGAAGTTAGAGGGCACAGAGGTGGGCAACGAAAATAGTAAAGGGTATGAAAGGCAAGTCATATGAGGAGAGGCTGAAAGAATTAGGCACGATCAGCTTGCAGAAAAGGCAATTAGGAGGGAACACGACAGCAGCCTTCAAATGTCTGAAGGGCTGTCATAAAAATAGAGGGAGCTGCCCTTTTTTCTATTTTTGCAAAGAGCAGGATAGGATCAAACCGATCGCCACATTTGGGGTCAGCAAGGAATTCTACGCGGTGGGCAGACTGGTCTGGACTATGGGGGCTTGACTGTAGCTGGCTCTGTAGCTGGCGTGGCCCTACTGGATCTCTTGGGCTTATTTTAACACCACTTGCAGCAGTGGGACACCGACTCCTATCATCCCCGCTTTGCCTGTGACAGGTTAGAGTGCCATACACTGCAGCTGAGAGACAGAGCTGATTGCGCAGTTTTAGTAATAGGTTAGACAGGGATTTGTACAGGATGGTTGGATAGGGATAATCCTGCGTGCAACCCAGGGCTTGGACAAGATGACCTCTGATGGTCCCTTCCAGACTTACTTTTCTATGATTCTATGACAATTTGGACGGAAGAGAGCTTATACTGGGGCTTACCCATAATGCAAAACAGGCGTCTCCTAGAAACAGCAGGATAGTGATAAAATCCCACACTCAGTATTTTTTTAAAATATAAAACAGTGGGGTTTTTTGGTTTTTTGTTTTTAAAAGAAAAGACAGCTGAGCCTGCTTCCCACGTGCATGACCGAGACCTGCTGGCTGACTTATCTGAACAAGTAAGAACCATAAAAAGTGAATTGTAAAAAGAGCATGAAGTAGGATGATGCAAAACAGTGCAATTTCAAAACATGGTTTATCCAAGTCCTTAAGGGGTTTTTTAAATCTCTTTCCTCACTATGCAGCATACAGCACAACATTAAAATATAGAACAGCATGTCCCACACACTAAATATCTAGAGAGGGCCGGATGACTCTGGGAACAGGTAAGGGAACTGGTTGCATCTAGTGGAGGTCAGCAGTGATTGAAAGTCATCACCATCGGGTGACCTATGTATCATATGTTACCTGGAGTCTATGTAGTTCCCTGAAGAAAGTGTCTTCATGACAAAAAGCCGTCACCATTTTTGGCAATTGCAATATAGACACACAGGTGTGAACGGGCCACGGAGATGCTCCTAAAGGTGGTCCCTGTCCAGCAGGGCTCAGGGAAGGGAAGCTTGCACTGCCGCTGAACATTACAGGGGTATTGTCTCCAGGGCGATCATCTCCATCTACTGCCAAAGCATGCTTCAAATCTGGTCGTGCTACTATCAGGAAGGGGGATATGAAGCACAAGGTTTGGGGTTTTTCTTTCCCCTCCCATTTGCAGTGTGTTCAAATGTTTCATGAAGCAGAAGGCTCCCTGAAAATCCTCACCTTGTATTCACACACACCAAAAACAAGGCACAATGCAATTAGCTAACCAGCTAATTGATTCAGCTGATTTCTTAGAGGAAATAAGCTCTCTCAGAGCCAACACAACAGACTTCAAACAGCTTCCATTACAAGTAATGAGCACTTCTCTTTGTACCTAAAGGACACACTAGAGGGGAACAGCATTTTCACCTGGGTATGTTAGATCCAAGGCATTAAATCTGAAGATCTTTCTATGTACTGTGGAAGAGCTCCAAAAGGGGCAGGCTGCTGTGAACTTCCCTACAGGGACAGAGAAATAAATTGGCAACTTCTAGCACTAGGTCTTCACCAAAAACCAGTGGAAGGACCTCGTTGTAAATAAGATATAGAAAAGAGATTAACAAATACCATTTATATGAACACACCTGAGCACTTCATCTGTATATGGGGGGCAGGGAAGAGAGGGGGGCGGGGAATGACCAACAATAACTCAGAAGCTTTAATTGGCATACTGTATCTTCCTTGCACCTTCCTAGCATTTTATGATAGTAACAAAAAGACACTGGCTTCTCATGTCCACTTCAGTTCAGATTAAGGCAGAATATTTCTGTTTCCATAGCTATCCACAGTTGTGTGCATGACACAAATGCACATTTTGGATAGCCCAAGGACAAAGGATGAGATTACAGATCCCCAGTGTTTTTTAAAATGCTAAAACAAAAGCAGTCCCTCAGGCAGGGATGTGTGGCATGAAAGTTTATGAGAGGTCTGCCGCACACTTCAATAGGGCCCAGATTTCATCTTTGGTATTCAGGCAGAGTAAGACAGCATAACCAGGGACTGAGGCACATGCCAGGAAGCTGGGAGACTCAGGGCATTTATACACATACTTTCTGGTCCTGCGACGCGCCAGAGATCTGTGGCTTCGGTGCAGACTCGATTAATCGAGTCTGCTCCGCACACGAGCTGGCGTGCGCTGCACTGCATCGTGTGCAGTTGTATAAGTGGCCAAACGTGCATCGGCGTGCAGAAAATGGCAGCAATGTGCTTCTGAACTAAAGCACCTTCTACGTGTTTTAGTTCAAAAGCGCGCCCCCGCCATTTTCTCAGTGCTGACACGCATTTCGCCACTTATACAACTGCAAGTGTTGAAAAGTACCTGGCGCTGCAAAGCGCCCAGCGCTGCAGTGCTTACATACATAAAAATGTCTATAGGTTTTACTCTCCACTATCACTGACTTGCCGTGTGATTGTAACTAGAGATGCACCGATATATCGGTTGGCACCGATAAAATGTCACTGGCTATTAGCTTTGTTTGGTCGTTGTAGTGGGCCTGAAGCACCCTGGCAAACGTAGTCCAATCCCCATACCCTGCTGCTGGCCTGAGCCCTCGACTGACTGCAGGTTCTGGTAAGCAACAGGAGGGGAAGGGGGCACCAGATAGTGGTCACAGGTTACCATGTTCAGCAACAGAGACCTTTTACTGGCTCCTGCTGCTGCTGCCATGGTACTACCACGTGCAAAGCAGGGGCCTGAGTGCTGGGGCTGCCCCGGAGATGTTGGGCTGTGCGTGGGCAGGATAAGGTGCTGCGTGAGGGATATTCTGTTCCACCAGGCACTGGGCGCCTTTGCAAGAGCAGCTTCTCTGTGCCGGCTACAGGAGCTTGGCTGCGTGCGGCCCGCCGGCACTGCACTGAGGCGGCAGTGTGCTGTGGGTCTCCAAACGTGCCTGGCGCCACCGTCTGCAAAAAGGTCTGCCCCATCCGCCCAGGATGGCAGCACAGGCTGCGTGGGGAGTGGGGCTGCGGGCAGCAGCCGTGGGCAAGGGGGTGACGTGAGTGGGAATAATCCTTCCTCGTCAGGCAGGAGGTATGTGTGTGTGTTTATAAATGCAAAACAAACAAAAAAAAGGTGGGTTTTTTTAATATCAGTAGTTTAAAACACCTTGCACTATAACTAGTAGTAGTTATCAGACTGGCTTTGGCCAATATGGTTGGTTAATCATCGGCTATTGGTAACGGCCGAGAAAATCTTTATCGATGCACCCCTAATTGCATCTAGGTCATTTTACTTCTCCATTTCCCAGTTCATCCATTTGTAAAAAGTTTACTGTTATTTGTCCAAAGAGCATTAACAGCCTCAAGCAAAAGGTTTACTACATACCAGATTATTATTTTAGTTACGTTGTTCCTGCATAAGATCCTGGTTCTCCTCTGAATGGATGACGACTCTGAACTTAATGTCATTGGCAAATTTAATTGATGCACTCCTTTTTCTGCCAAATTTATTAATAAAAATCCAGTCCCAAGGGTGAGCCCTGGAAAACGGCACTAGTGCCCATGAAGCCTGAAGCTTCCCTTTCAAATGCTGATGTCACCTACCTTATGCCTAGTCCCTTCTAATTCTTCTACTAATTCCCATCTTCACTAATATTTCCAATGTGGTAGCACATAAAATGCATTACTGAGGGAGACAGATATGATTTATTATCTAGTGTCTGCTCATTTCAGCCTGCTTTTTGGAGAGATTCTGTTTGTATCGAATGAGCAGGCTGGTGTCGTCATATGTTGCTGCTGCTTCCATGCTTTCTGTATAACAGTCCCTATGCTAGCATCACACCAATTCAGAAGAAAGGGAAGAGAGAGGATCCTCAAAAAAGACTCCACACAAAAGATAGGGAGGCACAAGACACAGTGCCCGTTAAATTGGGCGTAAGAGGATTTTAGGTCTGAAATGAATGAATGAAGAGAGCCACATCAGCTTGGATTTGCTAACCCCTGTGAGACATCCTGAAGAGGGATTCTACAGCTGAAAATATCCAATGTTTCACAGATCCTGTAATGAGAGTCTACATCTATGAGCTTTGTATTTGGCCAAACTGAGACTGTCCATTAGCTCAATCACTGTTCCTGGACGGATGTCTGATTCGACGGTTCCAGAAAACTGGCAGGACATAAGTGAGTGAGAGAGGCAGGTCAGCTGAAATAGTTGTAGGGACTGGAGACAGTTTAAAAAAAAAGTGTTAGTACAATAAAGATTAAGAACAACAAGATAACTGCTGTGGTTAAGGTTTTTACTACAACCTAGGACAATCTGTACACAGCTGTGACCGAGAGCCATTACCTCTGAACCCGGTACACTCGTGTCCACGGTGGTACAAGAGCCAGGATCCTAGCCACCAAATCCACTAGGGTGCTTGGAGGGTAACTCTTATATCTTCCCGACTTCCAGAGCTCGTACAGGCCAGTCCCACGGATCACCAGAGTTGGGTAGAGTTTCAGACCATCTGGGCGAAAAGCCGGGTTCTCAAAAAACTCCTGTCAACAAAGCACACACGTGTAAATAAGAAACAAAGGACCGGCTTCCCGAGGATATCCGAGCCAAGAAGTCATCCCTTAAAAAAACCGCATCAGATGACATTAGAGGGAAGGAATTCTTGTAAGACACAAATATGAGCCCAAGTTAAGTGCAACAAGCAATATCAACAGCATGACTTGCGCTGCTTCCAACACGTCCAGCCTATAACCGTTCTTTCACAAATAAAAATGTAATACTCTACATTAAGGGATATGCTGCTAAAGAAGAACCTACAATGGTAATGCCACACAAGGCAAGGAAGTGCACTGTCATTTCATTTCAGCCTGAAGTCAACAGATGCAGAACACGCATTTTTATCTGTAATTTGGGAGGAGAACAGTAATAAGGAGTGTGCTGAACTTCAATCTTGGTGGACAGTATTTAGAGATTAATCAAAGCATCTGGGACTTACCATTTGAACAGATATGAAAGAAGCTGATTCACTGTACAAGCGCAACTCATGCCTGTGCCCTGCCAACAAACCGCACTCCCTACCGACATACTCAATTATGCCTTAATCCCAGCCCGGGGCTTCAAGGGGAAAATTCTCAAGTCTGTGTTCCCTGAAGCCACTGGGTACCTCATACACAACGGTTACAGAATACTGCTCTTCTGCAAATCTAAAATACCAGGGACCACCATTAAGATTGCTTGTCTCAACCTAAACCGAGGAGTTTGGGATCAATTATCCACTATGTCCATGGATCTACTGGCATGGCCTTGGTCACACCAAATCTTCCAAAGGGCTTACACATGTGAAACAGAAGCCAGAACCCCCAGTTAGGTGCTGAGGCTCCTCATACATTGCATGGAGAGAATTAGGAGGTGTTCGAATGGGATTAAAAAAACCCAGCACAGTGAGTAGAAAGCCACCTAAGCTAGCCAACAAGAAATGTAGAGAAAAAAAGCAGGGCCTGCTTTTTGCTTTAAAAGAAAAGGGGGTGGCACTGCCCAAATTTTAGAGGACAGTCTAGCAGTGGGAGCAATCGCACTTTCTGACACTTGGGTTCAATTCCTCCGCCTGCTTAAGCAGGGTCAAACCTACATCTCAAATCCCTCACCAGAGTACCCCAACCACCAAGCTATAGTTTTATTTTCAGTGGGAGTATTCTGCACCCCGCCAGTTGAAGCTCTGTTTATATGCGTCCAAGATTAATTAAGCCAAAGAATATGACAGAGGGACCACGTTTGGTGGTTTAGACACTCACAGAGGAGGGAGCAATCTGTGTCCCAGGATTGCTTCTAGATAAAATAAATAAAGACTCGTGGCCGACTCTCTCGTTACCACTGTGAGGTAGGAAAAGTGTTATCCCTGTTTACATCAATTCTGAACTGAGGATCAGGTCGGTCGTAAGTCACTTGTCTACTGCATCTGTGGCTGACGTGGGAATAAAATTCAACCTTTTCTCTCATCTGAACCACCAGCCTATTCCTCTTGCTGCAGATTAAGCCATTTGAAGCGTCTGTGGGTAAGGCAGATTGCCATCTCGTTCTTGCAGAACGGCACTAGCTATTTTCCAGTCCTAATGATTTCAACACTAAAAGCACTGCTTAAGGGGATTTAAGCATGCTTGATGTTTCTTGTGGGACCAGCCCGGCTCTCAGCTGTTCACACCTCATTAGAGCTTGTCAGACTGTTACTCAGGAGTGCCTTACCTCTAATAGCCGCCTTGAACTTGACAGGCCCCAGTCAGTTTCAGATCTGCTAATATGGCAGCGCTGACAGAATTGAGATGGGCACGCCACAAGAGAGGCAATTTTCCGATTGCCGAATACGCCTACTATGTGTGGTTTAGACTAAAAGTGATGTACCAGTTCTCACAGCTTCCCAGACCACCCTGCCTTACTGCTTCACTTGTGTCTCCTAAGCAGATGCCCACACCTACCTTCTAAGGTGTTAGTCCATAATTGGAAATAACATTGCTTCTAAAAGCCTCTGTTTCAACCATGCACTCCTGTTGTGTCTGCAGTTAGGTCTCCAAGCATCACAGCAGTTCAAATGCAAGACTTTACACCCTTTCAAAGGATCAAGTTGAATAAGCTAACCATTTCTAATTCATCATAGGTTGCTTTGGTCATTATCTAGTCCTGAGGCCTTCAGTCCTGAAAACATAGATTCATAGATGTAGGGTCAGAGGGGACCTGAGCAGATCATCAGTTCGACCCCCTGCCCTGGGCAGAAATGAATACTGGGCTCATACGACCCCTAGTAAGTTTAACCTCATCTGACCCCAGCTAGGTAGTTATCAAGCCTCCTTTTAAAACCCCCGGGGTAGGAGCCAGCACCGCTCCTCTTGGAAGCTGGTTCCAGACCCTAGCCGCCCTGACTGTGAAGTAACGCCTCCTGATGTCTAGTCTGAACCTACTCTCAGTCAACTTGTGGCCGTTATTCCTTGTTACTCCGGTAGTGCTCGGGGGAACAGGGTCTCACCCATTCCCTGCTGGTCCCCCCTGGTAAGTTTATAGATGGTCACCAAGTCCCCTCTCAGCTTTTTCTTGTGGAGGCTGAAGAGGTTCAGGTCCCGTAGCCTCTCCTCGTAGGGCCTGCCCTGCTGCCCCTGACCATGCGGGTGGCCTCCTCTGAACCCTCTCCATGCTGTCCACATCCCTCCTGAAGTGCGGCGCCCAGAACTGGATGCAGTACTCCACCTGCAGCCTGACCAGTGTCGCGTAGAGGGGGAGGATCACCTCCTTGGACCTGCCCGAAATGCATCTGTGGATGCACAACAAGGTGCGGTTGGCCTTCCTGACCGCATCCCTCCACTGTTGGCCCATGTTCATTTTGGCCTCAATAATGACTCCAAGATCCTTCTCTCCCTCTGCACTGACGAGAAGGGAGTTCCCCAGCCTGTAGGTATGCTGCTGGTTCTTCCTCCCCAAGTGCAGTACCTTGCACTTGTCAGTGTTGAATCCCATCCTGTTCTCGTCCGCCCACCCCTGGAACCTGTCCAGGTCCAGTTGTATCCTCTCCCTCCCTTCTAGTGTGCCCACCTCACCCCAAATCTTGGTGTCGTCAGCGAATTTAAACAGGGTGCTTTTCACCCCCGCATCCAAGTCACTAATAAAAAAATTGAACCGACATAACCTTTAACAAGTCACAGGACTTTGAAATTTTTGCTTTCCCCCCTCCACCATTTTGTTCAGAAGACTTCATATCAAATACACAGCTTAAGACGCAGCTTTTTCTGTATCAGTCTTCAGTCAAGCCTCAGTACAGAAGTTACCACCTTAATCCAAAGGCTCCATTTAAAAAGTTTTTAGTTATGTCTCCTAAAGTATGTTGTGTCAAAATTAAGAGCTCAGAACGTCAAGTCGGCTAAGTCATGACAATGAACAGTTGTGCTCTACATGCATACAGTGGTAGCAATCTGCATTTTACAAGCAGAGTCTTGACACATTCTGGAGAGGTAAAAATGACTGGACCAATTTTGCAAAAAAAGGACAAGAAAATCAGTGCATCACCTGGGCCTCTATCACATAGCGGCAAGGCCAGGGATATCATTCAGGAGGCCTGACAATGTCAAAGACACTTTACAAGTTAAAATATGTTTTTGAGTGATGGAATAAGAGTGAGTAACAACAGAGCACTTGGTTAAAGTGCTCTGAAGAGTCTCTCGAGATAAGGTTAGCATAAATATTAAGAGAAAACAAAGACAACCCATACTTTTGCCTGGAAATTACTAAAATCTGAACAAAACGCTAATAAAATGTCCAAGCAAAACAAAAATAAGAGGAAGTTACCCTCCTTAATATGCACCAAAACTTTGACAATGCAATTCAGTAAATACAAAGAAATAAATCAATGACTCCATTTGTTTTTGATGCTGGTTCGAACCTTCCTCCAGAAAGGTTAAAAACATTAATATTCACATAACATTCTTTACATTGAGCTCAAAAGAACACGCAAGTCACTGAGTTCTTAGGCACTATGTGATTTAAATTGCAAATCCAATGCAAATACATTAATGCAACATTAAGGATGAGAAACCAAACATTCAAAGGTGAGGTCAAAAGTCAAGGTTTTTAATCCAGCTTGAGTTTGGTACTCACAAAGCCTTTTTATTTTATACTACAAATCTGACTAACCATCACACAGTTCCTGAATATATTACTAAATATATGCCAGAAAGTGGAGCTAACCGTTTTCTTCAAATTATATCACTGCAATAAGAAACAAAACCAAAAAATCCCTTGCCGCTTCTTCCTTCCCAAGCCCTTTTCCAGGGGTAAAATAAAAAACAAAAAGAAACAACTGGGAAAAGAAAAAGGAGAGAAAGACGACGTGAATGTCCATTTTTTTCCCTTTAAAAAAAAAAAGGGGGGGGGGGGGGCAAAAATGAAACGTTTGATTACCACGCCTATGAAATACCGTATTTTCTCACACAAAACGAGGGACATACTAGGAGGCAGGCAGGCGATTTTGTGGGCTGACTGTGGTGCCCGCCGCCGTTTTCATGTTTTTTCACGCCAAGGCCCCCCCCGCCGCTGACTGGCCAAGAAGGCTGCCCTTCAGGCAGCTCCGCCCCTCACAGCTGATTGGAGAGGGCAGGCCCCTCAGCCAATCAGTGGTGGAGGGAGGAGGGGGTGGCTCCCTCCGTGTGCTGACAGCTGTATGAACTGCTGGCGCCCACTGAGAAGCCAACATTTAATTTTCAGCAAGTCCCACCCCTGTCCCTGGAGATTCTGCCAAAAAAATTGCAGGAAACACTGCTTTTCATGGGAACTGCCTCAAATTGCAGTTCCTAACCAATCCGATCCCGTGTGCTGCCTCCAGGGCTGCCTGCTGATCCTGGGATCACGTCCCGACTCTGGAGCTACATGCCAAATCCAACCGGGACTCAGAGCACAGCCCGGGACACGGTGCACATGGTCGGACCCGGCATATTCCAGGTACCAGACCCTGTGAACTGGGTTCAGCCCAGCACACGGCTCCAAAGCCAGCGTACGGGGCTGGACTGGG